TGGGCCTTCCACTTCTCTTGCAGACCGAGGATTTTAAACAGGGAATGCCAGTCCTGTAGAAAAGTGACTGTAATCACAAATCTGAAAGCAGCATGTGACCTTTCTTGTCATTTCTAACAAGCCAGAACTTTACAGAAATCTACCCAGGCAAACTTTTGGTCCTACTGTGCTCCAGTGCAATAATTATAATGCAGAAACAGCTGATGGGTCACGTCTCCAGGCCTGCACAGCGTTATGACTTGCTACCTACATTCCATGTTTAGCTTTGAGAGATCAGATGGTGCCAGCAATGTGAGCTAGCAGTGCCTGAGGACATGCTCAGGGCAACACGTTCTGTCCCTCTGCAGCTTTGGTTTCTTTTCTCCACTTCTGTCCCATCCTATCTCCTTAAGGTGATGCATTTTACAATAAACACCAATCTCTCTAGGAGGTGAGCTGCCCCTGTGGAAGCATGTGTACCATTCCCACTGTGCTGTGTGTTAAATCCAAAGGCCCAAGGTTTGTAAATATTGTTTCAAAAGTATCTGGGGACTCCAGGTGAGCTGCTTGCCCTACTTGCTGGTGGCTCTGGAGCTGTGGTTGGTACATGTGGCACACGGTGGCAGGCTGTTTCAGCATTGTTACTGATCTGATTTAATGAAGCATGAGTGGTATTGGAGGGGGTAATTTTTGTCTTTGTACATGGGGAAAGGGTCATTGACAAAAGTTTACAAACAAACAAACGTGTTTAAAATTAGGCTTAGTTCAGCCATGTGCGGGAAGGGAGGTGGATATTTTCGAGTTGTGTTTGTTTTGTGCTTAGCACTGTGCAAAAGTTACACCCAGTTCTTGATGTAGGAAAAATTGGATAGGTAAGCAGAAAAGTACTAGCTCATTGCCTAAGACTGCTCTTGCTCTCTTACTCTCATCCAGGGATGCCATGGGAGAGGTGCGGTGGAGACATTTTAATTGTGGTAGTTTATTTTATTGTGAACTTATTTTCACTGGCATTAATCAGAAAACTGAACTTCAGGTATATTTTTAGATGTTTTTATGGCAGAGATGCTGCAAGTGAGCTCTGAGTTGGAGACAAGGGAGTGAGGGGGGAGCGGGAGGAGGGAGTCTGGAGATGGAGCCGGTTGTGGGTTCGTTCCACTACATCTTTTCATCTTTCCCCGGTACTGCAGCACCGCAGGAGTAGAGTTACCGACAACATTCTTGCTCAGGTCTCTCATCTCTCACTCAAATAGAGGGTGTAATTTGACTATGTCTCAGCTCCCATGTGTGAATGCTGTTGATGAAACTGTATGTATGTGCATTTTTAAGTACAAACAAAAACCAAACACAAACAAACGCAAATCTCAATTCAGATCTGTTCCATGGTCCTGGATGTGGTTGTTCAAACTCTAGAACTGGCATAAGGCCGGAGGGAGAACACGTGGCCAGAGCTGTGGGGTAAAGTGAGGACTGGCAGTCTGTCCTTCTGAATGACAGCTGTGGCTTACATCAGGTTAAATCAGTCTGTACGCTGCAGGCTGAGGCAAAGCAGAACGGACTAAAAGCAGGTTTTCACTTCTAGCCTTGAGTTTCCTGCAGTCCTGCATCAGCTTGTGGGGGTACATGTATTTCTGCATCCCAGCTGCCATGGAAAGTGAGAGACATCTTCTTACAGGACAGTTCTCACAGTCAGTATTTACTGAAGTTTTCCTGATTCGAATGGCTGTGTCCACAGCTCTCATGGATAGATTGTGAATCTGGATTTTTACCTCCTGCTTCTCCATTCCTATCAGCTGTTTCTGGCTGCTCACAGGTTAACAGTGAGGCCTGCTGGGCTGCTTAATGGGTGGCCTGGTGCTGCCTTTGGGCTGATGCAAATAATTTCTATTGGCCAAGGTTATCTCCTCCTGACCTTGTAGCCAGACTTCAGCCTCCCGTTGGCACGGTAATCGTGAAAAGGAGGGCTTCTGAAAGAATTCCTGTAGGCTGGAATATCCTTTCTGCTTTTGTGAAAACCGTGGGGTTTTTTCATCACTGCTCTGGATGGCAAGGGAAAGCGCCTTAATGTTAAGTTTGCAAATTCAGAAAAGGTTGTGTTTAAAGATTCTTTTTTTTCTAAAATCCACAGTGGAGACTTTAAATTTAGTATGGCAGGAGGCTGCTGTACTCAATCCACTTTTGCTGCTGTACTTTCTTGGTTGCTTGCTCACTGCACACTGGTAGCTTGCTGTGCAGGATACATGGCATCTGATTTCTTCCTAGCTGCAGCCTTTTGTACCGAAATGTCTTTTACCTTGGTTGCAGTTGGTTCAGTTTACAGGACTAAATGTGTTTGCATGCTTTTGGGATGAACATGGACTTCTGTTACCTGTGTAATGGAATGAGGCAGAGGGATTAGTGGGGAAAATGGGGAGAGAGGGAGGAGTTGAATGGGGTTTCTTTTCTTTTCTGGAGTCAGGAGACTCCTCCCGTAGCAGAGAGGGAGCATAGTACATGGAACCTGAAGACCTTTAAAGTACACGCTGAAATGGATGCTGGGAAGATACAGTACAGTGCTTGGGCACAACTCCAAGGCTCCCAAGGCAAGTAATATTTAAACAAGCTGAACAGCCCCTTTCGGCAAGCAGCAGGAAATCCAGCGCTGAGCTTTGTGTTGTTGCATGGTCAGCAGAAGATAAAAGCTCAGGCTATGCAGCTGGGGTTCCCTCCTATCACTGGATGGCAAACTGTTAAAAAAAGATAAAAGAACAGAAAAGGACAGGGGGTCGCCTAATTGAAAAGCATTCCTTCATATTTTAAGCCATCGAAGTACTTTGAAATACATTGAGCCTGATGTAAGTCAGGAACAGCCCTATTGGGATGTGTTGGAGCTTTTACATCAGTTGGCAGGCAAAAGATGAATTTGTCCCTCTGCTTCATCAGAGATAAAGATTTAACATGGGTAGGACTGTGATATACATAGGTGCCTCACCACAAGACCCACAGCAGGCAGGAGCTTCCCAGACATTTTTTAGGAGCAAGGCATGTAAAGGTGGGTCTCCTGCTGACCTGGGGTCTCATTCTAAAATTCAATCAGCATTCAGCCATGTATAGCCTTTCCAGGACCCACTTTCTGCAGCTCATCTTTGGTTAGGAACTATTTTAACAATGAGGAAGAAAATTTAATTGAATGAGATTACTAGTTCAAATCTTCTAATCAGTATTTACTGTATTCCTCCCCTCCATCCCTCCTCCTTTTTTCCTGCATCGCAGCACTAGTGTCTTGGGAAAGAAAATGCTTCAGAGCATTTGTTACCAATTTAGCATCAAGTACGTGCTCAAATTTGGGATTTCTGAGATCTGTGTGTGCCATATGTAGGCAAAATGTAGTACTTGCAAGTTCCAGTAGAAGGGAATATACACAAATTTGCTGTTCTGTAGATAGTGTTTCTTTAATCTAATGAGACTTACATTTGTGCAGCCTTTTTGTTTTGGTAAGACGGTTAACCGTCCTCCCTGGGGTGCCTAATTGCTTATCATGAACTAATCAGTCCCCTGGGTATATGAAGGGATGAAACTCTGCCAAGATAGAGCCTGTGACTTCCCCAGAGGTGCGATAACCTTCCCAATTACCCCACCCTTCAGGGAGCTTGCTTACTGCTGTTTTAAAGACCTTGTTACATCAGAAATTGTCCATGTTTGGAGATTTTAGGAAGTTTAAAGGGTTGTATTTACTGAGACTCTTTTGAACCTGTAAGCTCTCATATTTTTTTTATGTCAAATTTATATTGAATATTGTTTCAAGTTTGGTGTGAAAACACTGAACATGTTTCTGCTTATGAAAGTGCCTACCTTCATAGCCCCCATGGCATGCCAGACCCTAAGAGATAAGGAAAGGGCCAGTTTCTGTCTTCAGCTCTTACTAGATAGGGATGGCAAAATCTTCTAGCTTCAGAAACCCCATTTGAAGTTCACATGAAGAAATGAATGAAACAAATCTGGTGGTAATTCTCTTCTAATTTTTGGTAGAATGATAGTTGCATATTACTGTGTGTGAAATGAGTGGGTAGATTAGGAAAAGTTTTTACCTTACTGTAAAAAATAATTCATTTAACTAGTGGTTTTGCTTGCATTCTCCTTTCAGTTTCCTGTTTTAACTCATTCATAATACATGCTTGTCTGCTGTACAGGTTGAGGTAGCTACTGATTGCCTGAATTCTTCTCTTGTATCTTTTTGTATTGAATGGTTGAGTTCCATGAGACATATAAAACTTACTACAAAACAATAGTGTTTGAACTGGATGTGGAAAACAGCTATTTAGCATCTGAGTGAAAATATGAGTTCTCATGTTGAGGTTTCTTTGTCCTTTACTTTTGCTCTGAATGAACACGATTTTTGTGTGAAATTTGGAGGATTGAATTTGTCAGCTGGGTAGAAATAACAGCTTGTTCCTTGAAAGAGTTATAACGTAATCAATTAGTAATATCAGGATTTCTTAAAATTTTGTGGTTCTTTTAAAATACTTAAGGTTTTCTTCACTTCTGGTTGTATATTCTAAGTGACCTTAGCAAGATCGATGTAAATAAAAATATTGTTGTAGTGTATACTGGCTTAAAACTTTAAAGGAAGGCAATTTCATGCTTAGAATTAAAAGAAGGTGGCTGTGTGGGGGTGTATGTTTATATGCCTGAGAAAATGTAAATGTGGAAGCATCACTCCTCAAAAGAAGTGTGACTTTCAGTATCATAGATCTGATGATGATACTTCAGTGTTGCTTTGCTATATGTGCATATTTGAAAGTGATTAGTCAAGTTTCCACTGGCAAACTCTTGCTGTCCTCCTGCAGAAATTGGGGTGGGTGCACAGGCCACTTGATCACTTTTGTTGCTGTTTGTTCATTTTTCTCTGTGTGCAACTACTACTTTACCCAGAATTGAATTGAACCTATATGTAGTTCATACGAGTTTGTTTCAATCTAATGCTTTTGTTAAATATTTATCAATGGAGTCAGAAGAAGGAAATTAATTTCCCTTTTCATATGTGAATTGTTTCAAGAATTGTCTGTATCATCTGTTTCATGGAAGAGTGTAAAGCACTAGCAGTAGAATTGGATTTTTGGAAGGAGAGGGTGGTTTTGGACTAGCAGCAGACATTTTTGGCTGGAGGAATAGCAACTTGAAACTTCACTTACTGAAGAAACCTGTTCACAATTTTGTCTGTTCTTTTTTTTTTCCCCAGCGTTCCTGAAATAAACTTCCTGCAATTCTTTGCAGTGTGCAGGTGTCCAGACTCCCCTTTACTCATGGTCGCCTGTGAAACCCGTCAGGCAACTGAAGGCTGTACCTAAAATTCTGCTGGCAGTGCAGCACACTGCAGGGGCCTTGATATAGTTACGGTGGACACCTTGTGCAGCAGCCACAGCTGTAGCATCCCCTCGTAGTCCGAACAACTGAGTATTGCTGTCCAGGAGTCTGCACGTGTGGAGGACTGCCTGGAGTAGAAAGAGGAAAGCTGCAGAGATTGTGAGCTGCTGCTTGATCCGTGTGGCTCTTGTGCCGAGGAACATCAAAACTTTGCTGGATGGATCCGACAGCTCGTTGCAAAGTAGAGGGTCAGTCCTGCTGCTTATTTGCAGTTATTAACCTTAGTGGATTTTAATTTTTTTTTAATTTCCTTTGGTTTTATGTTTTTCTCTGTATGCCTAAGAGGATTGCGGCCTTGCAACCAGAATGCTCATGTTCAGGAAACTTAAGGCTGTTCCTACTGAAGGGCTTTGAAGATCAGCAGGCATTTCCTCCAGGGTTTACAGCATTGTTGGAGGAAACATTCCTTGCAGAAGTCTTCAGGCCTATCTGCCCGACTTTGGTCATTTCTTACCTCACCAGCACGTGGATTATGCTGTTTGCAGACTGTCTAAGCTGCACGATGACCTTCATGGATTCCTCATGAGCTTTTACAAGGCCAGGCCAGTGTACTTTGTGAAATCCTTTAGAAATGCCTGCTAGGCTTTTAAAGTCCCAGAGCATAGACCATAGTACAAGGAACTCAGAAGGTCAGCAGCTGGATGTGGTTGTGGATGAAGGGGGATTTGTATATGTGTGTGTGTGTGTGTGTGTGTGCAGTTCTTGTTTTGAAAAGGCATATTTTTTCAGATCAGATAGAGATATATTGTTCCTGAGAAGGCTTCTTGTACTCTCTGATAAAGCTGAGTGACTTCTGAATTCCATAAGAAATTGATGAACAAGATCCCTATGCCCTTTTTTTTTCATGTATGTTGCACATTCATTTTGATGAACAGATGCTGTTTCATTTTGTCAGTGTGCTGGAAGCACCTCCCACAGGTTATTTGCACTGCATCTACTTCAAAATAGAAAGAAAACTCATATTGAAGAGTATCACTGGCAAGTAGCTCTGCTGTTTAAAATTTGTTAAGTGTCTTTCCTGTGTGAATCTCAACTTGGAGAGTCTTGCCAGCACTATCTATTGCTGTAATTAATTTTCCTAACTAAACCAAGAAAGAAACCTTGTATTTCAGAATTTAGAGCTCTGTAAACAAGCCCAAAGGCTACTGGCCAGCTGGTGTAAGCCAGTGGGTGTGCTCACAAAACTTGTGGCACCTTGTTTATAGGTGGTGGGAGAGAGCTCTTTTTCTGAAGGCTGGATTTCTCCCTCACCTGGACGGAGCAATAAACCTCAGTCTGAGTGATCTTTGGTGCTTTAGCATCTATGGCAAATACACATCTAGAATAACCCCCTGTAAAATTAAAACCGCTAGTTTGTATCTTTTAATTCTGGCTCACAGTATCAGGGCAATGTCAGCTGATGGTTGTGCTTAATATCACATGGAGATTATGTAGCTGGTTTCTATCTGTTCCTGGTCCTTAGCACACTGTAGGAGTTGGTTGGCTTGAGATCTGCTTGTGCCTCTTATGGTGAGGGGCAGATATTGGCTTTGGCTTGTGGGCCTGCAGAGTCTGCTTGGTGTGGAGATACAATCTCAGAAGGAGTGCTACCAGTTATCTTGCTCATGAAAAGCTGGGTAGGCCCTTGGGATATTGCAGCTGGAGGCTGACATTACAAGTGCCTCCTAGCATGGGTGGGAGAGGGAGGGCTGTACAGCATGCTTCTCTTTGCTCCAGCATCTCTCTCTCTCTCTCTCTCCTCCCTGTGGGCTGTGCTTTCCCCTCTGAAAAGCTCAAGCTAAAACTCCCTAATTTAAAAATGTATTTCAGGGGAAAGGGGTAGGGATAGGATTTGTGTTTCTGAACTTTTAAAATTATCTTGGTTATAGATTGTTGTTCTTCTTGTTATTTGGAGGATGTGATAGGAGGAATAGTTTCTGTGCTGACCAGAAACACAATACAGGAAGATATGATGTTAACAAGGTGGGGGAGAAAAGGAGGTGTTTGTTTAGAAAAAGCCTAGTCACTAAAGCCTGTGGGGCAGAGGAACCCTGCTGATAACACAGATGAAACGGTCTGCCTCTTTCCTAACTTTAGAGGAGTGGAGCTTTGTAATAAATGGCTGCCATGTGGCAGCTGTCTCCCAGCTTCGTGAGCCTGGCAGTAGTTAATCCTGTCAGCAAGTCATGCTCCCTGGAAAAGAGCAGTGAGAAGAGCTTCAAACTCTTGAATCATTCTATCTTCAAAATATTTGCATGTTGAGTCTGTTTAAAACAAGTTTGGTAATTTGATGTAGGTTTCCATCTTTAAGTAACATTAAAGTGCAGCTGTGTTGGCTTTTAAATAAAATGTTAGAAACACGCTGAGATATTGCAATTTTTTTCTCTCTTTAAAAGAGTAATTTTAGTTTTAGAAGGTATATTTTCCAGAGTACAAAATGTACTGAGTAGAGAGGGGACACTGTGTTGCTATCCCTGTATGTTAAAAAATTACAGGTTGAGCATTTGAGATCATGGTTATCCTGAAAAGCTTGAGGCTTTAAAATTAAACTGTTCACTTCAGTTTGCTTTTTGTATTTTGCTGAGCATGTAATGTGTTTATGCTTTTTGCAAAAATCAAAAAACTAGCATTTTTACTTTAAAAATTTGAGATTTTGTGCAGTAATGTAGCACCATCAGATTTTACAGGCTCATGATAAAATCCTGCTGGTTGACAACACTAGGAAATGGGTTTAAATCCCTGTAATTTCCACTTTTTCTTTTCTCATTTTGCTGTGTTACCTTGTGAAGCACAAAATGTTTTGGCAAGCTACCTGGTACAGTGCTCCGAGCAGAGAGTGTGCTGGCATCTCCTGCAAAGACAGTGTGGTTGGGCTGCAAAGGATGAGTTGGGAGCTCTGCAAGCAAACTGATGCTCTCCCCTGGGGCTTGCCTGTGTTTGCTAGCATATGGATGCAGTTAGAGTGGTGAAACACCATGTGGGACATAGCTACTCCGAGTGGAGTTTTTTTCCTGGTCTCTGACTTATCCTATTTTCAGAATGATTTTTGTAAAATTGCCTGTGCATTCAGTTCCTCTCTGAAACTCTTCAAATACTCATCTTGGAGGAAGAGAATTGCAACCAGAGCAGCACACAAGAAGCAGGGCACTAGCACAGGAGATTTTCTGTCTTCCTCAGTGTGATTCATCCTGCCTCTCTAATCCTTGCTGAACCTGTCCTGCACACACACGCAGCTCTGGCTACTATGTGAAGAGCAAGTGTGAGGGGATGAAATGTTTGCTTGTTTCTCCCTCCCGAGATTTGCTTTAAACCTTCACTTTGAGCGCTGGCTCCAAAGCTGCCCTTGGCTGAGCTGCTGGCCATCAGGGTGAGGGACAGAGATGGGGACAGGGACAGGCTCTCCCTCCCTCCCTCCCTCCCAGCCTCCCTCCCCAACAGCTGCAGGCACCAATTGCCAGGGAGCAGCCCGGCTGCATGGTTTCGTGGCTTTCTTCCTCTCCTTACTAATGTGCCTGCTTGTTTCCGTGATGCTGAGCAGAGGAACAACCAGACGGATTGTCTCCTCTCGGGGTGGGTGCCCAGGCATCTGCACACCCAGTTGGTATGGCACAGGAGCCCCTGTTTTTTCAGTGACACCAGGGATATTGATGGCAGGCTGGGGCTGTGCTGCTGCTGCTGCACAGATGCTTGCTCTTGGCCCACCTTAAAAGGACAAGATATCCCGTGGTTTAGGCTGGCCATATATTGTCGGGGATGTCAGCATCTCCGTCACAGCTACCCAGCTGAGCCCAGTCCTGCTTTGCCCGCCCTGCGTGCCTGCAGCCTGTCCTCAGTCAGAGAGAGGGGTGCTGTAACTCGGAGTATTTGAAGAGGGGGATGGTCTCTTTTCTTCTCTGTTACTCAGAAGTGTTTTCCATCTGACTCTCCCTAGTGCAGTGCATCTAGCTCACCCATTGGGCTCTCGGACAAGTATCCCATTTCCTCAGCACAGTACTTGCTTAGGCACACAGATGATGGGACATTAACCTATAGCTCCCCCCATGTCCCCTCCAGGATTTTAGGTCAAGTGGGTTTGTCAGGGTAGCATGAAAATGAAGAAATCCCCCAAGCAACAAACACACAAAGCTACATTGTGAGTGTTTTCCTCATTTTGCTATCCCCTCTTGCTTGTCTTGAGATGGCAGCAGCAGCAGGCGATGAGGTTTTGTCTCCCAGGGCTGTGCTTCCCCTAGGATTGCTCCCCTCAGACAGGTGCATCTCCCTTTCCTCGGCCTGTTGGGCATGGGCACAGGCCACGGTGGGGTTGCCCACTCGTCCTTGCTTCAACTTCCCCCTGCCCTTCTGCTCTCTTGCCTCACCCTGGGCTCCTTCAGGGCGTGTGGGCAGTGGTTTTGGCAGGCAGTGTGATGCCACTTGCCTGACCTGTCCTGCCTTTGCAAGATACTTCCATCCTGCCTTCAGGGCCCACTCCCTCCAGTCTCTGGCTCTGCTTTGGAGTCCTACCCTCTCCCACACCATCTTCCAAGGCTGTCCCCTTGCCCAGTGGGATGTAAGCCAGCCCTGGCCCAAGTGAAAGATGCAGCAGCCGGACTAGGGAAGTCTGGTAGTGTAGGGAGGGACCCCAGGCCATGTCCCAAGGAGTTTTGCCCTGCTACAGCAAGTGCCAGCTCAGGGGAGACTCGAAGGGACTTTCTCGTGTCGCCACTTCAGCTAAGGCAAATAAACTGGAGTTAAAGCCAAGACACACATTGACTTCCTGGAACTCTGCGAGCTGTCCGCACAGCTGTCCCCACTCCCTGAACACATGCAAAGCAGAGCTTATAAGGACAGACAGTATTGCTTTTGTGTCCTTCCTCAGCCAGTGGGGAGGGTGCAGGGGAGGGGATGTGCTGGGTAAAGCCCAAGGCCTGTCTTGTTCTGTGTTCCCCCTACATTGCCATGATTCGCAGTGCCTGGGGGAAGCCAGACTCCCTTCCCACTGGCCTCTTCACAGCTGTGCAGACAGGCAAGGATGAGGATGGAGGAGTGTTTGCAGTTGTCAACATGGGAAGGAATGGATGGATGTCTGCTTAGAGCCACTTGTTTTGCTCTCCTGTTGCCCTGACTTTTTTTTTGTTGCCTAAATGTGGGTGGGGTTCATGGTCCCAGGTTTGTTAAGCTGTCTTCAAATCTCAGTATCCTTTCTGCTTGAGCGAACTCTTGAAGCTAG